TTGCTTTCTGTGATTCCCGCTCTCTATATTATAAAATTGGGTTTCTATTTTTTGCTTTAGAAATGCATACTGCTTTTCCAGAATGAAAGGAGATGTTGGGAATATTATTTTTCAGAACTGTCGTGAAGTTGTGTCCGTTTATTATTAATGTAATTGCATTTAGAAATATTACTCGACTCTCACTTTTGCTAACCAGCATTTGCCAAGCAGTGTCACTTCGTTTGTATCGTTTAAGTGACGTCATGGTTAATTATATTTACGGTTTTGCTACTGGTACATCAAGATGTACATCGGCGTGTACATCACACTCACATGGGGGTGAGACCCATTTGAATAAAAAAATATTTTATACAAGTGGGTCCCATCCCCATGTGAGTTTGATGTATACCTTGATGTACAATTTGTTGGGATAAAAGAAAAAATTGTTGCAGTAAATAATATTTTCACAATTCTTGATGTACAAATAGCATTTTTGTTATATTTATTTGTAAAAGTCTTGAATCCGTGTTAATTAAAATCTTTCCAAATGCCTGCTATTGTTTTATGAGAATGTGTAAAATGGCATTGAAATTTGCTTCAGTTTCAAATAGCAGTCTGTGCGAGTATGTGTTCTAGAGTGTGGTCAATTATGGACAAATTACATTGGAAGCACATAACTTGTAAAATTATTCGATTTTCGAAAAGAACTTTAGTGACCTTGAGAAAACAACCTTACTACATGAACGGGTTCAATGTCAGAATTTTTAACAGGTGAACACGTGTCATTTTTCCATTTGACATTTGGAAAAAATAAAAAAGCAATCAACGCAGCACCTGTCACTCAACCTTGTCAAATGCCCCTATTCAAGGAGCATTATTCTTGAGAAAATAAGTCAGGTTCGTATTTGCATTAAACAAAAGATATGTTGATCTTTAAAGAATCCGATTGTTTTGAAAAAAAATTGGGAAATATTATGTTTTCCGAAGACATGCGAACGTGAAGGAGGCCACATATTCTAAAAGGCGTTTGGTAATTGCATCAATTGCCAACTCTTATGATTTTGTTTAAACATGGGATAAAAGAGATTATGTATACGGTACATCTCGTAGATACACAATTTTTCCTTGTAGTTATAGGAATTTTTCAAATTTATAAGCAAGAACCCTTATTTAATTATACTCTCTCTCGAGTGCAGAGTAAAAACTATTCATATAATTTAATTTCAATATCTCTATTCCTGAATTTGTGCAGTATTTAAAAATGTGTGCAAAATTAAATAGTGCATAAAACTGCTGCTTGCTTTCTGTGATTCCCGCTCTCTATATTATCAAATTGGGTTTCTATTTTTTGCTTTAGAAATGCATACTGCTTTTCCAGAATGAAAGGAGATGTTGGGAATATTATTTTTCAGAACTGTCGTGAAGTTGTGTCCTTTTATTATTACTGTAATTGCATTTAGAAATATTACTCCAATGACTCTCACTTTTGCTAACCAACATTTGCCAAGCAGTGTCATTTCGTTTGTATCGTTTAAGTGACGTCATGGTTAATTATATTTATTTGTAGTAAAAATCTTAAATGATATGGTGTAAAAATCTTGAATCCGTGTTAATTAAAGTCTTTCCAAATGCCTGCTATTGTTTTATGAGAATGTGTAAAATGGCGTTGAAATTTGCTTCAGTTTCAAATAGCAGTTTGCGAGTATGTGTTCTAGTGTGTGGTCAATTATGGACAAATTACATTGGAAGCACATAACTTGTAAAATTATTCGATTTTCGAAAAGAACTATAGTGACTTTGAGAAAACAACCTTACTACATGAACGGGGTTCAATGTCAGAATTTTTAACAGGTGAACACGTGTCATTTTTTCATTTGACATTTAGAAAAGAAAGCAATCAATGCAGCACCTGTTACCCAACCTTGTCAAATGCCCCTATTCAAGGAGCAAAATTCTTGAGAAAATAAGTCAGGTTCACATTTGCATTAAACAAAAGATATATTGATCTTTAAAGAATCCGATTATTTTGAAAAAAATTGGGAAATATGATGTTTTCCGAAGACATGCAAACGTGAAGGAGGCCACATTCTACAAGGCGTTTGGTAATTGCATCATTGCCAACTCTTATGATTTTGTTTAAACATGGGATAAAAGAGATTATGTATACGGTACATCTCGTAGATAGACAATTTTTCCTTGTAGTTATAGGAGTGTTTAAAAACACTTCAAAAAGGAGAAAATTTGGCTATCAATTTGATGAATTGGTAGTCTTAGATGTGGAAGTACAGAGTACATTTCACAAGATATTGACATTTCTAGTCATTTTATATCTTGACTAGAGGTAGAATAAAATTAATTATATGATCAAACTTAGATGAATATTATGTGGCAAAGCTAAATCCTATCAGAATTGTGAGGGTATAATGATTATTTTGCATAATATTCTCAATTAAAGTTTGGACACCCCCTATTTGTGGAGGGTGGCATTGTTTTATTCAAATTAAATATTGAGATATTCAAGAATATTTGAAATGATAAATTACTATGTAATAAACACCTTGTTAAATTTAAAATGCGCATGATAATGAAAATTGATGTCCAATACAATGATTCAAAATCTACTAGTAAATATGATTTACTATTAAGAGTGTAGTTGTTTCCTGGAAATCTTCAATATAATTTGAGAATTGAAAAAAATTAGAATTTTCAATAGATTAGAAGGAAGTATGATAGCATCAAAGATTTTGGAAGGATTTCCTATCTGGAGACAACCTGTGCTTGTTATATCATTTAATCGAGACTGTAGTTACAAATCATGTGGCACAGAATGTCGTATATAACGGTAAGTATCGACTATAGGTCATAGATATAATACTATTTGATAGTTGCTCTCAAATTAAACAATATCAATTGTTTTATTGAAAGATAACCTAATGGATCCGTTTATAAATGGGTTATTTAGAGAGAATGGGTGTAAAGCCTAAACTAATGGGTCAACTTAATAGAAATCTGACATGGCGACTAGAGATCCCACTGATTAGGTTCAATAAAAAAACTAGTTATGATTGACTCGATAAGTAGTACTTCGGAGTTTTAACTCCTCCCAATTTCTATGATACAAATAAGTGTTGTCTACCAAAGATCGGTTAGGATAAGCTATGCTTTTAATTATAACTATATCTTGTAAACAGTACAAGTTGAGTGTTGTAAGGTACTCTTTATAGAATATTACCTATGTGAGTGCGAACTTGATCGGTTCTATGAGAATTGTATTTCAACGAATTCTCTAGCGCACTTGCAGAACCAAAAAGGTTCATGACCGAAATAATGAATATAATAGAGAACCAAAGTTTGATATGAAAGATAATGTGTTTGATTTATTGTTTAGACTTGCAATAACGGTCAACAGTTAACGTTGTGCTCACTGATTAACCAATGAGTTCGATAGATTTTTACTAGGGAAGATTCAAAGCGAAAGTTACCGATCCTGATGCATTAAATTTTAGTTGTACTCTTCTTCTTCTTCCTTGTTCTGAGTCAACTTCTTCCATTCATGTGGGGGATTATTGAAATTTTAAAGTTATAAGGATTAAAATGTGTGAATTGGAAAAGTCTTCAATAAGTACGTCGATTTGGCACGACTCTTCAAATGCAAATTATGCATATCAAATAGTTGTTCCAAATGGATGTGACATTTTGATAATGAACGATCTAGATCATCAATTTTGTAATTGTGTAATCTAATGGTAGGAATTAATTTGGTCATAAGATGTGACCCTTCGAAGAGACATACAAATCTATAAACAAGATCCTCCTAATTCCATTTTCTTCGCTCCAAATCAATTCCATATAATTGATTTTTAATTCTTTACAATTCTAAATTCTGTCACAATAATTTCCAAATTATTTTTGAGTTCCGTGTTCAATATCTTCTGTTCTAGTATAATACTGTCAAGCGTTGATTCACTTGAAAAAATTAATATTGTGTTATATTAATTTTGGAAGAAGCGTTGTATCTTGAAAGACGGACGCACTTTTAATCCGTTTTAAAGAGATTTGCATTCGCATACCTCATTTTATTTCATCTCCTCCTATTTTCTACATTTGAGTAAGTCGTAAGTTGCAAAAAAAAAAAAATTTAAATTTTTGTATAAATGTACGATTGAAAATGAGTTTGAGAAGAAGAAAAGAGTTGCGAATAAAAGGGAGACAAACAGGGGTTAATTGCTTTCAATTTTTCATAATTAAATTGTAATCAGACTTTATTTTAGAACCTCCATATATTCTCAAATCATTCTTCACCGCTGCGTTCTATATTGAAACTGTTAGAATAAACCACCACAAAAGGAAGAATAATAATCTCAGAAATGGAAAATAATCAAACTATAACTCAACATGGGTTCACTCGTGTGGGATAGGAAAATTCTCAAAAATTCAGAAAAGGAAAATTAATCAGCATCAAGTATCATCGCCATATGCTAGGCTAATTTGGTAATCAGAATTAAATTCGCACTCAAAAGAGTAAATAAGCAGAAACTGAAACAAAAATCTGTTCAAAGACGTGATAGACTATGATCTATGGACCATTTTGCAACCATCACAACTATGTGCTTAACCAAATTGGAGGCTCGTTAAAATCAACAGAAAATAAACCAAAACTATTAACTCGCGAGTTTGACATGAACTTCGTAATTAAACTTCATTATATCGAAGAATGGCATGACATGTTCGCTCAGATGCTTGAAGAAAAAAAACTATAGATTGGTAACGTTATAGATTTTGTTAGACCGATAATATAACATGGTATTTCAACGTATAATTTTTACTTGAATAAGAATTGTTCCATTGAGTTTAGAACATTACAATTTTTGCAAGGCATGTGATAAGCATCTTTTATTTTGTAAAATCAGTATGTAATGAATACCATTTGATCTACATATGTGCATACCATCACATGACTGTACTCAGACAAAAATCTGAAACTGAAGATGAGCCAAGCGATGATGAATACAGTAGATGGATCAACCCATGACTTTTGGTCTCCAACCCTCAATTACATCCTCTGTTTGAGCCCGTGTTTTGATGAAGGAATCCATTGAAAATATAGTCTGCATACAAGAAAGCCAAACAAAATTAGGAGGCCATGATAGGTACATCTATATCTGAACCAACATTGTAGAAGAATTGATCTGTCTCGATCTTACAAGAACTCATAGAATGATGTCCACCCTAGAGATCTCACATTATTTAGAGTCTAGTCTATTTTTGGAAAAGAAATAGTTACTTTAATAGGCAGAAATATGAACTCAAGAAGGAAACCACTAGTGGAGCAAATTGAAAATAGAAACAATTTATAAGAGTTTGATACATTTGCAGTCACTGAACTTCATATTGTCTCAAGTTGGTTGCTGAACTTAAGCTTTGTTTCAAGTTGGTCACTACATCCACTTTCATTAGTGGCTAACGAAAAATGTGACGCAACAATTTCACGGTTTGCCAACTAAACTATCAACTAGACTATTGTAACAGCTTTCCAATTAGATAAATTAAATACATGGACAGAATGAGCAAATAGTAACAAATATTTAAGTTTAGTAACCAACTTGGAAGAAAATGAAGTTCATGACCACCATAAAACTTCGCTGGAAGTTCAGTGACCACTAACCTTTAAAAGTCCCATAGTTACAAGAGCATGATATACATTTTCTACATGGCCTCAATACTCAAGTTATTTGACACAAATGGACAAATTCTGAGTTCCTGTAAGTTCACTGATAGGTTTTGTGTAAAGGTGGTTAAAACTTTGAGTAGGTTTAAAGCACCTGGAGTACAACGCAACTTCTGGATCATTAAGAATTAAGATATAATAATTAACAGTGATTTACAAATTAAAGAGAAAAAGAAAAAAAATGTCGCGAGACAACATGATTATGCACAGAAATTGTCGGTACACGTGTAGTTGAAAAAAAATGTTGAGCAAGTGAATTGGAAAAGCTTGACATATATCCAACCAACCTTCATATATGTCTTTAGATGGGGAAGTGAATCCGGGATTGACCACTTCTTATAGTGCCCCAAAGCAATCTCTAAATGGTATAGCTTCGGCCCAAGCGAAAAGTCAGCAGCAGATACCTTGTCCCCGTTGATGAACGGACCCTTTATAGAGAAAATTGGAAGAAAGAAATACGTTAAGAGTGCATTTCATTTTTGGGTAGAAGTATCATCTGGTTGCTGATTTTGATTTTCACAAATGTCAAAACAATGTACAGAAAGTATTATATGAAAGGAAAAGACTTTCGAGGAAAAATAAAAGATTTTTTCGAATAAGCTCTAGCTGGATTTAATGAAGGAGACTATGTTATTTTTATTTTTTTTTCAGAATTTAGGGTAAGCTCTTAGATATCAATATTTTCACTTTATAGTTTACTATGCAGCCAAGGACCTAGGCGCTTTAGATCTCCCACTAGATGTAGCCATGAACACAGTAATATGTCAAAAGTGTTTTTAATCTAAATCAGTCGATGAGTAAGTATTTTTTTTTTTTCAAACCTGCATCCAACTTTATATTCAAGTACTCTCAAAGAACTGAAATTAAGACATTGATATGGTTAAAGATATCTCAAACGGCTAACATATGCATCGTTTTGTTAACTGTAAATCTGCAAAGATTATTTGAAGTTCTTTCTTCATATAAAACCGAAAAATTGGCCTTACAAGTGAATCATCAACCTCTACTCGTTAACAGAAAGAATATTAAACACCGTAAACCCAAACTCATACAAAATTAATAATAAATGGTTCGCATTTTCTTTTAGATAATCATCAGAAGTTCTTAGGTCAAATTAATCTTAGCCCCCGTTTGATGGCCAATATTTGGGAAAAACAAGGTTTTGAATAGTGATTTTTAGGAGAATGTGTAGTTAAAAAGTAAAGAAAAGTTTTGGGTTTACGTAAGGAATATTTTATTGTATGAATGTATGGTTGATGAGTATGTAAAAAAAAAAGGAATTTTCAAATAATAGTTGTCAAACAGGGGCTTAGTCTAAATCAATTAATGAGAAAGATTATTTTTTCCCCTCAAACCTGCATTCAACATTATATTCAAGAAATGTTCTGATAAGAACCGACTTTAAGAGGCCTATTTAGTTATAAAAGAAATGGAGAATTTATTAATGGTTATATTTGCAAACAGTGCAAGGAGTATTTGAATTGAGCATCTTCAATTCTTCATAATAAATTATCAACCTTAACTCAATACACAAAAGAAGAACAGATATGTGGCTCACATTTTCTTTAAGATAATCATTGAAAGCTGTCAGCTCATCAAGCAAGGCCTGCTCTGTTCCATCGCTGGGGTCTTTGCTCTTCAGAAAACCAATAAATGTGGAGAAAATCTTTGAGCCACTATAAGAGTTCATAAATAGTATCAGAAATAATATCTCCCCACTAAACACACAATAATCAAACTAGAATAGAAAGCACTGATTACATCTAATCCTAGAGTCTAGAGATACAGCTCAATTCATAGTTGATTTGTTTACGGTAACAGAGAGTAGTGTCTAAACTCCCTTGAATAAAAACCTGCTATTTAAGCAGTTTATATGATTGAAGAGAATTAAAAAAACAAAGCAGGAGAAAGATTAGCCAACTATACCACAAATTAATAAATATGCTGAATTAGTCTTTTCCATTTTGGTGAAATCGGTATAATCCATTTTTCGAAGACAAGAAGAATAGTTACAAAAATGTTAAGAGAGAGAATCTAAAAGCACATTTGGGAGTGTTTATAAACAATTTAAATTGTAAATAGATAGAAATGAGTGATGAATAAGTTAGTAGTACTTTTGGATCCTATGAAATGAGTAGATAAAAAGTGGTTTGATCATTTGACCATCTAGCAGCTTGTTATCTTTCTCCTCTCCTTTCACTTTTCCCGTCCCACTACTCATGTGTTTCAAAATTATAGACAGATTATACAGTTGATATGTACATCCAAAAAAATTTAGTCCACGGGATATTTTTTGTTAAAAAAATCAAGATTTGCATTGCTGCTGATTCTGATGTACTAGAAATTTCAAGGATTTTTCAAAGAGAAAAATTGACTCGCCAAACCACTGCACCAGGTCCATATATCTAAAAGATCAAAGGGATCGAGTTTCAATTCATTACAGGCCAATCAATATGGGAGATAAACAGTTAGTGAGGTAACTTCCTGTACAATAATAACTACTTTCAGAGACTACGTCTGTCTCGAATTTCGAAAGAGAAACACGAATTACCAACTCACTCTGTAGAGAGCACACGAACACAAATTAACGTCAATTGGTCCAATTTTCACTAAATAGACAACATGCTTTGATTAGGAGGCTAGATGTGATTTAAACCACCATTTCTAATGTTCAAAGAGGTCCTAGGAATCATTTAATCCATATAAACCTTCTCTTTAAGTAAGCAAAAACAAAAAATAGATAATGACATGACTTGAGTGCTCAAAGTGTTCAAGGAATTCATTGACACGTGAATTTAGCACTAACTAAGATAGTATCTTTCAATTTCTAAGAGTGTGTTTGATGTAAATTTTTTGAAAATGGATTATGTGAAAAGTGCTTTTTTTTTAAGATTGTGCGGTTAAAAAGTAGGCAAAATTTATGGGTCCAAGTGCAAAATTATTTATTAAGAGAATGTGTGGTTGAAAATGAATTTTACATATCTTTCCCAAACAGGGGCTAAGAACCATATTCAATTTCAATCTAGTTTTTTACAACTGGCCTTCAGTTAATTAAACAGAATTGAGACTCAATAACACATGAAGATTCTAATTGCATCTCTGTGAAGTGTTTAAAAATGTTTAAATTTGTAAATATATAAAAATGAGAGGCAAATAAGTGGTTAGTACTTGTGGATCCCTCGAAATGTGAAAATAAAAAGTAGTTTTGAGTGTTTATAAACATTTTATGAACACGAGGCAAACATAGGCTAAACCATTTTTTTTATATATTAATATAAAAGCATACGGAATAAATAGCTAACAATAACATACAGACACAAAACTAGACAACCACGCAGCTTTCAGAACCATCCCCAAACTTAGATATTATATTCTCCTCAATGTATTTGTCCAGCCCAATAGCCCATATCAATTAAAAGCAAAAAACCAATGCCCAAGATTACACCCTCCCCTCTTGAAGTGAAAAAGAGGCAATTCAGGTGACATCAGCAAAGAAGTGAATGAAATTCAGCAGAATGTCTCCTAAGCTGTTGCCTTCACAACTTGACACTGACATCCATTGATTTCTTGATGTTCCATCTTCTAACCACATCCATTGTTCTCATACTTGTTCGATCATTGACAAAGAATGAAATGGACAGACTAATAATATAGTATAATTCTTTTATGTTGCATCCAAACATACAAGTGTTTCATTATTTAAAAAAATAAAAATAAAAAATTCTAGTGACTTCTTTATTTGTTGCTTCATTTATCATAGGGTCACAGTCGGTCACCTTTATGGGTTGGGATCAATAGGTGGACCTCATTAAAAAAAGTGATCTTTCTTTTCACACCTCAAAGCAACAGGAAGGTTTATTATCATAACCTAATAATGTAATTCATCATGCTACTAGTAATTATCATGGGCAAAGTCTTTACGACAATACCCTTTTGCACCATCTCTTGATATCAATCAGTCTCTACTTTGCTAAAGCGGCTATCATATATTCGTCAAAGACTATATTTTCATGTAGAACCGTTTATGACTATCTTAACACCATTTAAATGGTCCAATACTCCAATACCTCAACTCTTTCGGATTCCCCGAAATGTTAAAATCATCAATTGTTATAACAGTAACTCTAATTAATCAGCCACTTCTAGTTTATTCTTTGCAGTCACTGACAAATGATCCTCCAATAGAGTCTAGTCAAATGCAGAAAATGCATGTCTCGGCATTTGATGATCTTTACTACCCTTCAGAACCATTTTGTGGAATCTAAAAAACCAAACAGCTAAACCCAATTGCAAAGCCATTCTTCCATGTCTTAGACTCTAAGCCATTTGATTGCATGGAAAAACTTTTATACAGACCTGAACAGCTGATTAATTTTGTTTTCATTTTCCCAAAAAAGGCAATGCCTAAAATTAGAAACTAGATGCATATTAAACCACTAATAAAAAATAATCCAAAGTAAGGTTGAATTCCTAATCCGTTAGATGTATTTAGAAAGTAGCATAGCTCAATAGTAAAGACAAGAATGACACAGATCTATTAGCAAAGGAACATTCAAAGACAAAGGCACATTCTTTCCAGAAAGACAAAGGCTTTTATATTACAATGCATTCTTTTTTAGATTAAATAAACAAACTATGCCTGGTGTAAGCTCAAAGATATATCGTACACTGAAGCCTTCTCAGGGGGTGTTGCCAATGGGGGTTCAGGGAACTTCTCTTCCAGTGCCTGTGTGATAACATCTGAATCTGGAATCCACTTCTCATCAAGCTTTAGCAGAGGAACTTTACCTTCTGGACTTAGTTTTAAGAACCTAGATTCAATATATGACAGAAACCATAGTAGATAGCATCATATGGATTACAATATCTTCATTCAACAATAAGCCATGATAATTACCATTCCGGTTTGTTAGCAAAATCAACGAGCTTCAGGTCATATGGGAGTTTCTTTTCCTCCAAAGTTAGCAAAACCCGCTGCGTGAAGGGACCTGAAAACAAAGTTAATGAGAAACTCAATTTTGGCAATCCAAAAGTTCTTCGCATTCTCCTCAAGGCCATTCCTCAAGATAAAGGCTAAAAGTTTTCAGAGTTCATTTACTTCTAAAGATTTTCACGGCAGAGACCAGAACTAACCTTTTAACTACAATGAAAAAAAAAAACTGGCTAATTTTCAGATCATGCTTTATAAATGTCATTTACCTTTCAATATCAACACTTCTTTTGAGTTCTTTTCTTTTTGAAATTATTAGCACTGTAGTACTATTATGCACGCTTCAAGTATATGTAGCATAGAAACTGAGTATACATGACGTAGACACCACATTTCTAATAAAAAGTAGGATACAACATATAGTAGAAGCATTTCATCAAGATATATGTTTATATTAACAAAAATATAAATATCCCAGTATTTGAACTTAACAAAAGCATTTCAGCACCAATCGAACACTCAAAATTACATTAAAGTTGTTACGGGCTAGGTATTTTTGTAAACGAATAAGAAAATAACAAATGAAAGAAAATAAGTTGCTAATAATTCGAGAGAACAGCACCTCCCACAACTCAAAAGGTTGAATAATTTTTAATCTGTTCTTTATTTCATGAGCTTAAATACAAAAAAATCCAAAAGTTGGTTTCCTCATAAATAGGAACTACCTAGGCAACTAAATTGGCCACCAACAAGAAGTTCTGCCCATATCATTAGGAAAGAAACTGGAACAAACATAAACAAAACAAATTGCATCTAATTCGGCAACGTAAGATAAATTACATCTTTAAATAATCAACAAGACATAAAATAATAACATTCTAGCCCCCTTAAAAACACCCTAGGCTTGTCTTTAACAATTCTTGTTCTTTTCCAATTATAATTAGATATACTTAAAAATGCTCCCTTGATTCAACCGAATTTTTCATTTTCGAAGTTGCTATTTGATTGATGAAAGACTCCTCGTCATGATACCTAGGCATTTTAACTGTGTTTAAAATACACATTTGGCATGCTTGAGAAAGCTCTAAGAACATCATCTAGCTCATTATTTTTGCTCCATGGACTAACATCAGCCGCTATAAAAGCAAAATTCATCCCTTTTCCACCTGTAACGGTTCCTATCTTCTTGATGACTTATCAGTGTAAATTTTAAAAACAATTTTGTATGACTTGCTCCTGATTTGCAGTTCCTGTTACATTGGTTCTCAAGTATTGACGTATCAACCTTGCCATCTCAACCCATTGCCAGACAACAATATAGTATTGTTGAACTCTTTGGTCATGCATGGATTGTTGAAACTTGGAAACTTGAAGTTTCAACCTAATTATATAAAATTTTCTTTTACATATCTTATGCCATGGCCACTTGATGATGAATTAAACCATGCATTCCACATTCTCGATATTCATCAGTCTTACAAGAAAGTTTCTCGACAAACTCCACTTTGAGAATTATTGATTCCACAATTTTTGGTAAGCTCTCGGGCAATTACTCCATCTTGGCTCTGATGCCATATGTTACGAGCTCAGTATTTTTGTGAGGGAGTAAGAACATATGAACGAAATAATTTTTTTTTTTACATATTATGCCGTGGCCACTCGATGATGAATTAAACTATGCATCCCACATTCTTGATATTTCATCAATCATACAAGAAAGTTGCTTGACAAACTCCATTTGTTTAAGAATTATTGATTCCACGATTTTTGGTAATCTCTCGGGCAATTACTCCATTTTGGCTCTGATGTCATATGTTACAAGCTCGGTATTTTTGTGACGGAATAAGAAAATAACATTTGAAAGAAATTCATTGTTATTACTTTGAGGGAATGTTATGACTGAATTAGGTGAAAATTGAATGTTATGACCGAATTAGGTGCAAATTGTTTTGTTTCTGTTTGTTTAAATTCCTTTCCTAATGATATGGATGAAAAGCATTGTTGGTAGCAATTTAGTTCCTAGATAGTTTCTATTTATTGAAAAACCAATGTCAGAATTTTCTTGTATTTAAGCTCATGAAATAAAGAAGGAACTGAAAATAATTCAACCTTTTGAGTTGTTTGGGAGTTTTTACTTTTTAATCCTTAAAGTATTAGCAACTTGTTTTCCTTTCCTCTATTATTTTCTTATTCCTTTACAAAAATACCGACATTGTAACAAAAGTATATTGAGCTGTTCATAGGCGGAGCCAAGGGGATCCTGGATGGAGCCCAACCCCGTAGGTTTCTACACATTCTTTTTCTATTCATACTTTAAATTAGGGGTGGGCAAAAAACCGCCCAACCCGCTCCAACCGCCCAAACCGACCGGTTTGAGTCGGTTTTTTCAATTTTTTTGGATGGGTTCAGTTTTTTTAAATCATGGTGGGTCGGGTCACGGGTTGGTCCACAAAAACCGCCCAACCCGACCCGACCCTCCAAGGAAAAAAAAAGAAACTTGGGTTGAATACTTAAATTATTTATGCACTTAAACCAATGTCCCAGTCTCCAAGAGATCCAGAATCTAGAAAATTCAAAATCAAAGCTCTCAAGTCTCAACTCTCAACCCGATACAAACCCTAGAAAATCTCTCTTCTCCCCCATCGTCGACGGCGCTGGTGCCTGCCGCCTTGTAAGGTGGAATGCAGTTCTTTTCTTCAACTGGTGAGTGGTTATTGACTTCTATTTTACTATTTCATGTTGGTACTAATGTAAAGAAACTGTAAAATTTAGGATTATAGCCAAAGGTGTTGCATACCAGTAGTCCAGTGCAGTACTACTGAGAAGTTTTTAACAGGTAAACAACATATTTAGCCACCCAATAATTTTTCTTTTTCATTCACTTTATCAAGAAGATAGATACCCATTTCGGATAGAATTTATACAGAACTGGAGTCTGGAAGCATGTTAAGATTTGGATGTTTCTTCTATAGATTGTTGGGAAGCGTGTTAAGATAGATTTTTTAGTATGGAATTATATTTAATTCAATTTTTTTTTATGGGCTATGCCTTTTCACGTTTCCAACTAGGAAAGATGAGTGGAAGTCACAGTCTTGTATAATTAATGAAAGAAAATCTAATTGTGGGACTTGAACTTTAGCCAATTTTAATTATTTCTATAACACTCCAAAATTTTGAGAAGATTAGTACTGATTAAATGAAGTGTAAATTAGTTTTTCTTGTTTATTGTAATATAGTGGGAGAATGTAGAGGTCACTTAATTAGTACTGATCTTTTCATTTAAACACTCCAAAATTTTTCTTTTTGTTGTTGTTGAATTTGGAAATTGGGAACCTAAGGAATTTGGATGGTTTTTACATGGAAGATATTGAGCATTACAATCAGTTAGATGAAGAAGGTAATATATATATTCTTAAATTTTGTTACTTACTTTATTTATATATATATATATTCTGTTGTTTCATTAAGCATTTTTTTTTTTGTAGAACTTGAATCAATGAATTCAAAAACGAATGAAGCTATTCAAGGGCTTCCTTAGTTCTTTACACGTTTCTAGGTATCTTCTACTGTGATTTTTTCCATAGCATAAAGCCCTGGTCTCGTGCTCTTGATTGTTTGATATGAGTTTACTATGGAAATACACATTTTTTTCATTCAGATGTATGATAAAAAATGACAAAAGGCTCCACCTTTTTTGATATATAACATACATGTCTTATAATCATATATCTTGCATTTCCTTGAGGCCATTCACTATTTGGATATTAGTTTTATGATATTAAATACCACCATAAGGTAAAGAAAGAAAAAATATATATCGTCTGATATTAAATACAAGGAATTTAAAACCCTTAATATTAC